CGAGCCAGAAACGAAAGAGACGTGGCGTGCCATGGATGAAGTGGCCCAGAAAGCTGTTCGGCATGGACCCTTTTCGCAGCTTCCATTTGGGGTGGGGGATCTTGTGAACAAGGCGCAGAACATTACAAGGGTACGCAGTGTGCAGAAATCAACGTAACAAAATTAACCGAGTCCACAGTACGGTCTATATGACCGTCCGGAGCTCAAGTCTTGGCATAAAGGCCGTGTCGTTCTCATGGGAGATGCCGCACATCCTACCAGTCCCGTAAGAACAGTTATTGATACTCCACGGACAGCGAGTTGACCTATCCCATGGCCAGCATCTTGGACAAGGCGCCAACCAAGCATTCGAGGATGCACACCACCTCGCCCGCCTCCTCGTCGAGTATCACCCTCAGGCTGCTGGCACCAGTGACGTCGGCCTGGGGCCGTCGATCGCGACCCTGTCTGCCGTGTTTACAGCTTTTGAGACGGAGCGCATGGAGCGCACGGCGGCGCTGGTGCGAGGGGCGCGTAAGGTGGGGGAGTTGCGCGTTGTAGCGGGGGTGGATGCAGCGCGCGCGCGAAACGAGCTGGTGTCCGCTGAGTGGGCGCAGCTAGGGCCTCCACCCGTTTCAACGGCCGCGGCGGTCGATACGCGACGAACAAAATGACCCTGATTTTTCTTTTTACAATTACATTTTTATTCATAGTTAAAGGCTCTCCAGTGTTTACTTAACGAAATTTGGGCTAACGCAGGGACCTACCTTTTTGAGAAGATCAGCCATCATGCGGCATACTGAATGTCCCTTTCACCCGTACCCACCCAGCCGTCTTGAAAATCCTTTGAAGGAAAAGGGCCGACACTCTGGGGCAGCCCCGGCCATCTGAGCGCGCGCGGCATGCGCGCCGCACCCGCGCGATGCAGATGGTGTCGAGTGGGCTGACTCGGGACCCCTGCCAAGGGGAATAGCGTTCTTTGTATCTCGTCATATGTATTACTACTCACACATCTCCATTCGATGCCACTTTGCCACCAACCCTTCCTGCCGACCATTTCCGGCATCCATACTTACTGTCGCGGCTCACATTACACTATGTTCTGTGCCCTGATTCTCATAATCTCTAAGCTCTAAGTCTCTCAGCATTTGTGCCTCTTTGACTTCGCTGTTACTTAATAGTTTTGTATTAGTTATGAACCTGACCGTGATGGCCGATTAGCACGTGATCTCCTAATTCGGTCTATGACCCCCTTTGGACCCCCTTTCAACCTAACTCAATAAGGCTGTAAGGCCGGCAAGCGGCAGGGCCCGCTACCGGCCTCTTTTGAAGTCTGAAAACCAGCTGGGTTTTTGGTGACTTCTACATCAACCAAAAACTATGGTAAGTCATGGCTTCACCCCGAGCCGGCTCCGAGTCAGAGAAATCTAATCCGCGGCATGCCACGGTTGATGCCGGAAGCTGCAAATGTGATGCGGCATCAACTTTCGCGACTCTGATTGCAACGGCCAAGATGCCGATCACCCAGTAGCCATATATATATATATATGGAAAAATGCTGCATTTTCAGGGGAAACCGAGGCACCATGGGCTGATCGTTGTGCAACAGCCTCTACAACAGCCGGTGAAACCGAAGCAAACTGAGCGGCCACCGAGGCGAAATTGGAATGATTTACCTTCAAACTTGTGTGCAATAGCATTTCATGACGCTGGATGATATTGAATGCAGTAAAAGCGAAGGAACTGTGTTCCTTGAACCTCGAATCACTCAGACTGGGTAACTTTTTCTCTTAATGTGGCGTAGCGCGGCAGCACGGAGTTCATTCAAAGAGGCATGGCAGTCTATGTCCGTAATCACCACATTCTGGAATTGCGGATCGATTCAGAGCATGAAGCGCAGGTGAACATTGAGAGTGTAGAAGAACTAGTTTGGTCTCGAAAGTTTTTTACCAGCTTGTTCTTCACAGATTGAGGAATTATCTGTGGCCATTCATCGTGGATAGTTTGCAGCTGTTCAGCGTGTCGACATCGCGCTTCGATCTTCTGTTCAGCGGAGAAGCAGATCTCTTACCGCGTGTTAATTGAGTGATCCGCTGCTTGAGCTTTCGGTGCAACTTGCTCTTCCTGTCAGCAGTATCAAATTGAATGTTCAAACTACATATATTGCAGAAAGGACATATAGGTACAGTTCAGAGTCCCCAGAGTCCTTCTGCCATTCATCACAAACAGCTGCGCAATCAGGCACATTGAGATCGTTCCCAGTCTAGTCGTCACATTCAACTTCAACTCCGGAGAGGAAGCAGGGTCCTTCTGCACTCCATCAAGCTCAAATTAGCATGGGGGAGAGCGTGATGTATTGATGAGATATCGGAATGGAATACAGATGTACATGCGCGGGTGACATGCTGGGCAAGGAATACATCGTGCAAAATATTTACGGAGGGAGAGGGAGCAGGTTCAGGTTCAATATGGTCAAATGGTTCATTACGGTCATCTCGATTGCAACAAGCAGCTGTGGCCCTCTTAGCAAATGCAAAAGACGGCAGACATGCAACCGACCTGATGCGTAATTTCCTTGAATTCCAATCTCCATCGGGGAAGCGGGGCGTGGCGGTGAGGCAATTGGAGATTGAATTAGCGGGAAAAAGAAAGGTAACTAAGGAAGATACTTGTGGGCTTGACACGGTGTATCACACTACTCGATAGCGCGAAAGATGTGGGGCATTAGAAGACCTAGTCCCGGCCCAGAACGAGATCAAACGGCAGGCTGGCGTGCACGGGCAGCTGCATGTGCATGGAGGTGAAGGAATTTCCGAGAGCAGACGGCACAGAGAGGACACCACTTGCACGGCCAGCAGGAGCGCGAATGTCAGCAGACACTGGCAGCAACTTGAACCATTCCAGCGACAGCTGAGAGGTCGGAGAGCTTTCATCAAGTGTTGTAAACAGAGGTATAGTACAGAAGGTTGCGGACGGCGGCATGGAGCGCAAGAGGTCGATGAGCGCGAGGGAGACAAAATTTTTTGCTTGCACGACTTGACAGGCATGAGAAAATGAGTGGCTGCGGATGCCACGACCTGACAGCCATGGGAAAGGCAATGGCTGAGGCTCTTGGCCTTACAATATGCAAATGACAAAGATGAGATGCCGAGAGCATGCCGGTCAACAATTTGGCTGAGGGATTTTGGCATTACACATTTCGAATGACCATTTTGTGATTTACGCACAAAAACTAAAAATGGGGCGCCCTATAAGACCCTTACCTAACGGTAGCGGGAATATTTTCTCTAGGGGTCTATGGAGCCGCTGCGTGACCTTCATAGCTTTAACAGCACGGTGACCTTTCAGTCCATCCACTCATGGCCAACAGCCACCCCTCTTTTTCTGACGCAAGTGCAGATGCGATCCTTCAGTCCACTGAAGGTACCATGTATCACATCCACAGCGCCATTCTCCGAAACACGTCTCGGTTTTTCCTCACGATGCTGTCACTGCCCCAGCCGGACGACATCAAAGCGCCTGACGTTATCCCGGTGAGCGAAAAGGACGTCGTCATGGAACGTGTCCTGCGCATGATGTGTGGCCTGGAAATCCCGCGGTGGACCTCGTTCGACGAGCTCGAGAGCGCGCTCGATCTCATCGAAAAATGGGACGCGCCGGGGCCGCTGTCTTATATACGGTCGGCCATCATGTCCCCGATATTCGCCGACGAGCCACTCAGGGTGTATGTTCTGACGACACATTACGGGTGGGAGGAGGAGACCGCGGCTTCGTTGGTTCAGACGCTCAAGGTTGAGCTTCTAAGTGGGGAATATGATCTTATCCTCCGCCGGCTCTCTTCCAAGAGCCTTCTTGACCTTGTGGCTTTCCACCACCGCTGCAAAACACGCTTCCAGCAGGCAATGGACAGCACGGCACTGTTTACCGGTGGAAACCAAGAGCCATCACACTGTGCCTGCGGCGAGAGGAGGGACAATTCTGCATGGCGGGCCCTAAGAACCAAGGTCGGAAATGTGCCTTTGGTTCTGAATCTTGGCTAAACTTTTCAGTCTCCAGATCCTATCGGAGTTCAATCGGAGACCACTTGGAGACCATATCTTGGTCAACATATCAGGCTGCCTTGAGTCAGTTGCCTGTTGGAGCACAAAATGTGTTTGCGGCAGTGTCTACTATAACCAGGCTTCGACAATCGAAAACATCAAATTGTGTATCAAAAATGCACACCAGCCTTAAATCCTGACTTGTTGTACCATATACTTCAATGCAGAGCTCGTTGTTAAATTGTTCTACTTGAAAAGGGAGTTCATCATACAATTGTCGCCAGCGTGGCCTCATGATTAGAAAAGTCTTCATTCATGAACACACAAGTAGCTTTGCACACCGATAAATCTGCTGATCTCTTCGGGAAAATCCTTCCCTGGGCCAGTCCATGGGAATCTTTCTGGGGGGTAGCACTTCTCGGCGGCTTCCAAATTGTCCAGCGCGCTTCCTACCTTCCTTAGCACCTGGCACTCTTTCCCCAGTCATTATTGGCTTACGAAAAATGTCTTCGCCGTACTTGATCAATGCACCTTCGATTGGAGCAATAACTGATTGAACAATTGTCAACGTCAGAGGACAACCAAACCACTGGCAAACACCAACAAGGCACGTACACCTCCCAGTGTCCTGCGCCCCAGATGAAAGAAATCCATTAAACACTTCATCCTGTCCACCTCGTCCAACAGTTCTTCTCATTTTCGCGTCCCACCACTTTACCAAATCCGTGTCTCTGAGCGTCTCCAGCAGGTCTACGCATGCGCGGAACTGCTTGAAGCTCTCTCCACTGAGTCCACTCAGACAAGTTTCGTTTGATGCACCAATGAGATGCTTCATACGGGAATCCAGACAAAAACTCCCCAAATTCGTCTATTAGGGCAACGGCCTGCGCGTTTGGAAAAATAGACAACCAGGAACCAGGATGCAGAACAATTTGAACCGCAGGCTCCGGCTGTCTAAATAACACAGTCAGGAAAAAAGAATGGCATCACCGTGGATTGAACACGGGACCTCCAGATTACACCGACTAGAATTCTTCAGTCTGTTGCTCTCCCAGCTGAGCTATGACGCCGATACTGACTCGGACTTTCAATATCATATAATGTTATTTTAAACGCGATCCGAGTGTCTTGACTTTTCAGGGCCACCAAGGCCCACCATTGTCCAGTTGACCACGAAATCTTGGGGGGTTTTTCAAAAATCGAGATTTTTGGCCGTCTATCTTCTTTCCATTTTTTCAACCAAGTACATCTACCCGTAAGAAAAAATTGAATGGACAAATACGCAACTGGAAAGTTGAAGTCCTTTTCTGCATTATCGTCACGTGAAGATTTTTTTGTCTTTCCATGTTCCTGCGGCGGGGGCAGCGCATTTTGCAGCTGGGCGTGCGCCACCGCTCCCAACAGAAAAACATCGTGCCCAAAAAGGCCAAACCTGTTGTCCAGCGCGATGCCATGGGACGACCCGTCCTCCCCCAGCGCGAAAAGAGTCTGGGGGTGCGTTTCTCCCCCCACACAAGAATCTATGCATGCTCAGGCGTCACCAGATATTCAAGCCGCTGTCGGTCACCCAGCTGAAGCACGAGCTGTTTGAGAGCGAGGAGCCTGGCCGCGTCGAGCTTGACCGTCCGCCGATGCAAGCCCGCATGCTGGCGCCGGGTGTCGTCACGCGTTTTCACGACAGCGACCCCACGTCGCCGCTGCGCGTTTTCGGCGTCCCCAAGCACATGCTGCTCGAGGTGAGCGTGCGCTCATGTATTGTACCTGACTCATATACTCCAGTTCCGCGTCCTCGGCGCGCCTTGCTCCGTGACCACTGCAACGACGCTCTCTCTCATCCGCGCACTCGAAGAGGCAAAGGCGCACCCCGCACGCCTCGTGCTGAATGGCCGCCCTGGCTGCGGAAAGTCCTTCCTGCTCCTCCAGGCTGCGCAGTACGCCTCCTCCTCGCGCGAGTGGATTGTCCTCTACATTCCGCGCGCGCGTCGCCTCGTCGATGCCTCCACGCCGTACGCATATTCCCTCGCAACGCGCACGTACGTCCAGCCGCGCGCAGCGCGCGAGACACTCGCGCGCCTCGGCCGCGCGAACGCTCACCTCCTCGCGCACCTTCGCACCACCGTGTCTGTCACACTCGACGGCAAAACCGCCGCCGTGCCCGTGCGCGCGGGCGCACCGCTGTTGGCGCTCGTCGACGCGGGGACGGCAGACGAAGCCGCCGCGCCGGCGGCGCTCGACGCGCTGCTGCGCGAGCTCGGCGTGCAGACGCGCTTTCCCGTGCTCCTCGCGATCGACGACTTCCAGGCGCTGGCAGGGGGCTCGATGTACCGCGACCCGCACTTCCGCATGATCCGCCCGCACCACCTCGGACTGCCTCGCCTGCTGCTCGAGTACGCGTCGGGGCGCAGGACACTCGCGCGCGGCCTCGTCCTCGGCGCGCTCACGCGCTCTGACCCGCAGTTTCCCGTCTCCGACCAGCTCGCGGCCTCGCTCCGCATCCCTGAAGAGTTTGAGCCGACGCCGCGGTCGGTCCGTTACCGCCGTAGCGCACAGCTCGCGGCGTATCTCGAGCACGAGATAGAGGTCGTCGGTGCGTGTTGCGTTCTGCTTGTTCTTGGTTCCGACACTCTCACTAACCAGCTTACCTTAGACCCCTTCGAGTCCGCTGCCCAGACTGTCGACGAGGACGCACATACGGGTACAGCCAACGTAGACGAGTCCGCTGCCCCTGCAGCTGACGCCAACTCGCCCCCCTCTGCAGTGGAACCCCCCTGGACGGGCTGGCGCGTGTATGACCCCCCGGCATTCGAGGACGCTTTCGCGCCGACCGCGGCGAACCCCTTCCCCACACCGTCGCCCGCAGCGCTTTGGAAGGGCATGGTCCTCGCCGACTCCGACTCTGATGGTGGTGTGGCCGAGACGCAGACGCCGCCGGGCGCTGTGTTTGCAGGGAATCCGGATGTGGACGTAGACGCGGAGGGTGAAGTGGGGGCAGGAGACGGCGCGGAGCCGGTACGCGTGCAACAGAATAAGCAGAAACAGAAGCAGAAGCAGAAACAGAAAAAGGAGGCGGCCCCGAAGACGGTGCGCGCGTTGCGTGCGATACGTGTCCCAGACGCGCTGTCGGTGCGCGAGGCGGCGGCGCTGTTTGAGTTGTGGCTCGATGCGGGGGTGCTGCGGACCGGTGCGTCTTCCAGAAATGCCATCTGTACCCTCTCCTTTTTCTGAGCACGCTCGCAGGTGGCGAGCGCCGCGCCGCGCGCCGCGCAGAGCTTCAAGCCGTCGAGGAGTGGCGTGCCGTCAAGGCCGAGGTCGACGCAGACCCGGACACCGCATACGACAGCGACGCCGACGCCGTCGACGACAATCCGCTGGACAGTAAGCAAGTGTCCGCGGCGCACGCCCTGGGCGCCGCGACGAAGAACCACGTCGTCAGTGCGCACGCGCTGGACGCCACGCAGGACGCGCTCGACGCAGATGAGTTCGCGGACGTGCGCGCGCTGGAGCGCAGGCTTGGCGCGGAGGCGTGGGTGGCGCAAGGCGCGGCGCAGGATGCGCGCATCGTGTCGCTCGACGCGGAGCGGGAGCGCGACTTGGCGCAGCGGGTGGCGCTCGAGCTCGAGCACGCCGGTGCCGGTGTTGCGCAGTTGGAGGCGGCCGGCGAAGTTCAAGATGGTGCGGACGCTACTGCGGTTGCGTCTACCTCTGCGGAGAGCGAAGTCGAAGCAGCCGACGCCATTTCGGCGGATCTGCTTATGGAGGAAGACGAATTTGAAGAGAGCAAAGTGGACGCCGACGCCTCCTCAGCGGACGTGCTCTTGGAAGAAGCCGCTGACGAGGACCAAGCCGCAGAGGACGGCGCCGACGACCTGGAACTCGGCACTGACGACGAAATCGCTGAGCTGCTTTCGGACGGCTTGCGCGGTGCGCTTGGTGGGGATGCGGCCGCGCTCGGCGAGCTCCTGCGCGCGCCGCTTGCGGGGGAGCTGCAACCCAGCAAGGAGGCTGGCGCGGACGAGCTGTTCCTTGCTAAATACGCGGAGAGCTCCGGGAATGCTCGCGTGTTTGTGTGGGGCGGGCTATTGGCGACTTTGCAGACATTGGGATAGGCGTGGTCTGAGCGGTCTGGGTGTCTTTGCGCTGCTGGGCAGATGATCGCCCAACAGACGTGCTCCACGGGAGGCTTAGTGCGACGGAGCACAGTGAAAGACTGCAACGTTGCATCTCGTGGCCCTTGTGCGACCCAAAATACAACCACTCATTGCTTTGATATTTGATAGCAATGGGCGCGACAGGATGTCTTTTTCCCGTCTGCAATAGATCTAATAGATGGCGAATCGAGAACGGGCAAACTCGATATTATATTCACGACATTCAATTTCTACATAGGAATTGTACACACTCTGACCGAACCTGCAAAATAAATATAGCAAAGACGGCTAAGCCATGAGAGAACGTAGGGTATGCAGACGTGGAACTTTTCATCCCGTCATTCGTTCAGTCCATCATCTTGTTCCATCCATCCTGCGTAATCGCTATGTACAGTGCCACCCACCATGCCAACCGCACATATCTACCCCGATACATGCATACCCGCAAACTGCGAGGGCAGTGCCGCCGCCGGCTGCGGGCTGGCTGACCCTGGCACACGCCCAGTCTTCTTCGGTAGCACCCACGACGGTGTATTGGTCTCCGCCACGGGACTCCCCGCTGCGACGGGACTTGCTGGCGCCGCCGATCCTGAGCCGGGATCCATTAACGCAAATCCCTGCCTTGGCAGCTGTTGCTGCGGCTGCGCCTGGGCGGAGGCGGCGCCAGGATCCTGCTGCGCGTAGGTCTGATACTGCTGGGTCGGCTGCGGCCCCAGAGCGTGGGCAAGTTCTCCCTGGCTTTGAGAGTAGCGTTGCTGCTGCGGCTGCTGCTGCTCCGGCTGGTTCGCATATGGGTCGGGGAGCTGAGAGTACGGTCGCTGCTGCTGCCCAAGCTGTGGCTGCTGTTGCTGCTCCGGCTGATTCGCATATGGGTCGGGGAGCAGAGAGTACGGTCGCTGCTTCTGCCCAAGCTGTGGCTGCTGCTGCTCCGGCTGGTTCGCATACGGGTCGGGGAGCTGGTCCGCATACGGGTCGGGGAGGTACAACTCATCGTCCGCTGGGTTCGAGCCGAGGCTCTCCTGCCGCTGGTGTTGTGGGGGTTGCTGGGTTTGCTGCGGCGGTTGCTGCTGCTGCGCGGGCGCAGGCTGGGGTTGCTGTTGGGGTTGTTGCTGTTGTGTGGCTGCAGGCTGGGTTTGCTGATGTGACTGCTGTGTCTGCGCCGGCGCGACCACAGGCACAGGTGCGGGCGCGGCATCCGTGACACCGGGGACGCTCACGAAGTACACAGCGCCTGCAGTGTCCTTCCCACCGGCGGCGTAGTACTGCGCCCACGCCTGCACGTTCGGATCTTCGTATGTCGCATGGGGGTCGTAAATGTACGGCGGACCCGCTGGAGCCTGCGATTGCGCCTGCTGCGTTTGCTGAACTTGCGCTTCGGGCTGCGTTTGCTGCTGCTGCTCGGCGGGGTACGGAGACGTTCCCTGCTGCTGCTGGACCTGCGCTTCCTGCTGCTGCTGCTGCTGCTGCTGATGGGCGGCGTACGCCGTTGGTCCTTGCGGCTGCTGAGGCTGGCCTTGCGCTTGCGCTGCCGGCTGCTGTTGAGCGGGGTACCCTTTCGGCTGCTGAGCAGCCTGAGGATACGGGGTCTGCCCAAGCTGCTGAGGCTGGCCTTGTTGCTGAGCGGGATATGGCGTCGGTCCTTGTTGCTGCTGCTGCTGAGCGGGATATGGCGTCGGTCCTTGTTGCTGTTGCTGAGCGGGATATGCGGCGGGGCCCCGGGCTGGCGCCTGCTGCTGGGCAGGATACGGCTGTGGCCCTTGCGGCCCATAGGCGCCGTACCCCTGAGGCTGCTGCTGCTGGTTGTATTGATAGGCGGCGGTGTCCGGATATGGCCCCGCGGGTGCTCCCGCTGGGGTGGGAAAGTACGGCGTCCCGGCGCCATAGGCAGGTTGTTGCGGCCCATAGTACGTGCCGCCTGCGGC